GTTTTTTTAAAATTATTATCTATTACAATAAAAGAATAACGTTAGAAGTCAAGCAAATAATAGAGCTCATTCTTAACCAAATATATCTTCATTTATATTTTTTTTTGTACACAAAAACTATTTAGGGGCCATCCATAAAGGACGTCCAATTTCCAAAACCTTTCTTTTTGTGGAAAGAGTCTAATCGCCGGTAGGTTCTTGGTTCTAATACAGTAGTCATACGAAGTCCTACTAACGAATAAAATGTACATAAACTTTAATCCATGTGTCTGATATTTTGACAAGAGATGGAGCTTGGTAAACTGTGATCGCAAGCAACAAACCGAGGTCGATAGACCTCAATGAAAAGGATTTATGATGAAAACACTGGTTTTTCACTATTTAAATATGTTAACCTCCATTTTGGGTGTGGGTGTGGCGGGTGTGAATATGAAAAATAGAATGCTACCACCCACACCCACGCCCTACATGAATTAGTAAATCTAATTATGAAAAAAGTCTAAAGTATATATTTAAAAATATACAACTACAAATTTAAGGTAAGAGCGAGAATTAAATTAACGACGCAGTGACATATATCATCAATAAAATTATTCGCTGTTGAAAACGATGAGATGTCAAGATGAGAGAGACCAATTGATGCTGACATACGTTATCACAAGTTTAGATTTTCATATAATCAGCACATTTGTTCTTTTGTTTTTTGCTCTAAATGAACTTTTCGAAATATACTAATCTATAAGAAAATGTACAAAAATGTTAGCCTTATCTATTATTTTCGCATACTTTGAACAGTTCTTTTTTTTTAAATAGTATTTGCATGTGTTTTTTTTTTCATTGAATTGAGTAAAATTTACGTTAACAGTATGTTTATACTCTTTTAAATATATATTAAATTAATTTTTTTTTATAGAATTATTATTTTATTAATCAATATTATCAAGTAAAATTTAAATGTAGATTTTATTGTTGGAAATATTTAAGAGAGTATCTACGACAAAATCCAGACATCGAGGCATACTAACCTATATTTTAATTTTTATTGTTTTTGTGTGCGTTCGAAAGTCTAACATCTCAAATTACCCAATAAAGTAAACAATAAATTTCATAATAAATGAAAACTTGTCGACAACGAAATTTATTAGTATTACATATTAAAAGTTATGAAGACTTTCATAGGTTGAACTTTCGAAATTGATAATATATTTTAATGACCATCAATATGAGAAAAATGATTCATATGATCAAGTTCGAACTGAATGTAATACAAAATTAGAAGTTTTCTTCTCACCATTTAATGAACACAATTAATAATCAGTATGATAATCATTAGTAGTCTTTACTGTTTGAAGTCGATATAGATAAGAACATTGAAGAGTTTCAAATAGCTCCATATTTGTTTTCATGTTTACATAATCGTATTCTTGATTATTGTTTTGATATGTTCTTCAGTCGTATTGAGAGCGGATGAATTTATAGGATACATATCGTTATCCCAAAACGAACACTGTTGTCTTGAGACAAATACTGCACTATATTCTTGCGCATACATATTGATCCATCGGAGACAAACATTACTTCATTAGCAACTAGATCAGAAAGGAAATATATTTTGAACTGACTCTTATTATTTTAGATAGTGATGTCATATAGACGTTCTCTTAAAATTCATATCTTTTTTTTCCAATTTTTTTGTTAATTCATTAAGATCGAAACTAAACAGATTATCAATTATTTTTGATATANAGAAAAAAATTATTCAAAATGATATTTACATTTTGACACCATTATATTTAAGCATAAATATACGTTTAGAAAATAATGAATGTCTTTGTTGAATAAGACGTGAACGTTGCAGACCACCATGATACATTGTTGAACATGTTAAATCACCACGTATTTCACAATGTGAAGACATTCATCAATCCAACGTATTAATAAAACAATTAAATGACGTGCTAATGCATGAACAACTTTTGATGATAAAGCACAAACAAATGGAATTGTTGTATCATCAGTTATTAAATGTGTTGTTTGTTCATCGATTTCATCTGAATAATGAATATTAAAATGTTGAAGAAATTGATCAAGATGATCCTGATTGAAACAATAATAATAATTGTTTTTGTTTTTCTTTTTCGATTATTCTTACTATTTGTTCATCAGTTAGGTGAGACGCAGTTATGAAAATTGATTTTTGAGGCAAAATATAATCATCAGCATGACTATCAATTGAGCTAGCAGATGAACATGCTTGATTGGACTAAATATATAAAAAAAGAAAGAAAATACACAATTCATATTCTTCATCTATTATCTTACATCGAATGTTGCAGTTGATGTATGAGATAAAATTGATTGAACAGGTGGTACTAAGATTATTAGAAAAAAGACAAACAAATTCGATTTTCTTATAACACGAAACATATATCATACTATTTTGAAGTTGAATCATATCGACGTCGTTTAAGAAGAATCCATTCATCTGACTTTCGACGTTTATTACTATTATTATTGACTAGAGTTGTAGAGGATATTTGCGACGATTGTTTGTTTACAGATGTTGATGCTAAATCATATAAGAATAGCATGATATATATGACTAATTTATTGATTACTAGAGCAAAGCTATGAGAAATACTCATAAGGATATTTTTCGAACAGATATAAAATGGGCATCCTTTGATTTTAGGATGAAATTAAAAGCAAAAATTAGTGCTTGCACTTGAAAGGATATCATATGGTTTTAAGAGAGCAATTGGCGGTGCATCGAATGGTATATAAGATATCAACGTTAAAGGCAGATTCTGATGTATATGATGTTCACTATATGGCATTTATTAGTAGCACAGCATTGCTGATGAACTGATAAAAGTAACTTTTAATAAATAGAAAAAAAAATTGACCTCTAGTTACATGAACATAAGAGATTTAGAGACTCGTGTAGAGCTTTATGTATAAAGCAAACCTGAATACTCTAAATAAAACTCTGAAAAAGAAGTAATACAAATAGCAGATTTCCTTCCTGTCATCTTATTTTCGTATCCACTGCCAACGGTTTGGAGACCAACAAATTTTTTTTCGATTTATAAAGGAGTTATTTATATCAGTTCATCGGGGATGCTGTGCTGATTATAGATATATAACAACTTTCAAAAGGACCGTTCCGTATTGTTAAAATATCGTCAAGATATAATCTCGACCTAAGAAAAACTAAATTTGCATGATTTTATCTTAAGAACCACAATATCTACGAGTGTCATCTATAGTCTTCAAAAGATGATAACCAATTTATGCATCTAGAGCACATCAAGTTTGAGTCAATGTTGATTTCTTATATATCATTCAATATGCGCCAAAATGCTCTAATAATATTAATATCATTTACAATTCAGTTGTGCTGTTTTTCGTCGCCAATCTATTTAGAATTCAAACACAAAAGAAATACATCATCAAACAAATCAATAACCTACTTTTAAGATCAAGAGTTACAGGTGTTTCAATAGCTAAAAATAAAATAAAATAATTTTCATTCTCAGAAAATTTCGATATTAATTAGAATACTAATAACATAGATTTTTTGATGGTATCATTGTTGCTGTTGTTGTTGTTGCCTTTGATGATGTGGCAGCAGTTGCTGATTGTTGAATTAATTGTCTACGTTTTGATTCATTAACAGTTATATCTGATGTTTGATGATAATGCCGAACACAAAGACTTCTATAAGCAACAACTACCGGACATTCTTCTCCATCATCATATTTACATAATTGTCTCCAAACTCGTGCATTAAATCTTTGTCTTTCAATCAAACCGTCACGTCGAACATGTACACGAATTTGATCTTTATCAGGTAAATTTAACGATGTACTTTGCTGTTGTCGTCATATTTTTATTATTATTAGAATTGTTTTTTTAAAATTATTATCTATTACAATAAAAGAATAACGTTAGAAGTCAAGCAAATAATAGAGCTCATTCTTAACCAAATATATCTTCATTTATATTTTTTTTTGTACACAAAAACTATTTATTATTTTAGATAGTGATGTCATATAGACGTTCTCTTAAAATTCATATCTTTTTTTTCCAATTTTTTTGTTAATTCATTAAGATCGAAACTAAACAGATTATCAATTATTTTTGATATATAATTATTTCTTAACCTATTCAGGTCTCATTGAAACTCTCCATTTTACATCAGCTTACAATAATTAAAATTATTAGACATATACATACTTTAAATCAAGTAAACTCACAACAAATATCGCGAAGCCATGGTGAAATTTATCCTTCTGGATCATGTAGGCAGTATGTCTCTTTATCTTCAAAGTTCTGAAGAAACATTGGTTGTATCTTCTCTTCTCTTCTTCCTCATCTTATTGTCGTGATTGCTTCATTCTTTGATTTCTTTTCTCTCGTTTGCCGATATAGTAACGAAGAAATAGAACGATAAAAGAATCCGTATGCTCGCAAAAGTATTGATATACGATTTATTTTATCAAACATGTCAATTAAATCACAACAATTACTTTTTCAACTTAATTAAAGCTATTCAAAACATCGAAAAGTGAATTGAGTAAAAATGATTGATATGTGTAGCTTGCATTCAAATTTATATTTAAAACTCATAATTATAACCCAAGTTATAACTATTTCAACGTCTTCCTGTTTTTCTAAATTATTGACTTTCTAAAGTACAGTTTCGATCTTCAAATTGATCTACAGTTCAGCAATATGACCCCATCGCCTTGTGCATCATATCGATAGTTTTTCACGACCATTTGAAGAATTTTTCTGTCACATCTAGGGATGTGATATTTTGGAATTCTTCTTACATTGCGCTGATCTCTGATGAGAACAGTCAAATGGATTTATTTATTTATTTTTGAAGATAAAATAAGTAAAAGTTGAGCAAAAAAACTAGCGAGAATAGAAATGAAAGTGTTTTAAAGTTTGTTGTTCAGCTGCCGATAATCTTGCTTCGTCAAGTTAGGATTTAAAAAAACAAAATCGTCGACCTATGACGTCCATTGGTTCGAACGAAATAAGAGGTGTTGGTGGGCCACTGACATCAGTGAGAAAACTGCCGAGAGAATAGAATTTTAAGTTGAATGTTCCGGATAAATTTTCACCATATTTTGTTAAAGTCAAAAGGATATCAGTAAGGTACAATGAACTTGGAGTATTGCTACCAGCCACATGGTAATTATAACCAGAAGTGCGGATATGAATTTGATTCCTTCCAATACATCTCCATTCTCCAAGGGGAGATGTATATGGCGGGGCTTCAACTCCGTTTCCTGCACTAAACCCATTTTCTGTATTAGTAACTACATTAACTGTGCCGTCATCATGAAACAATAACAATTCGTAGATTACAACAGTGCCAAAATTGAATCTGATTTGATATGCTTTACATCTTAAGTCGAGACATTCATGATGTTCATTGTGAGAGCTAGTTAACCCTGGCAGAAACAACATCATAAATACTAGCAGCATCATTTCTTTTTTCTAAATGAAAACAGTTGTTCATATTCATCTTTCTTTTTGAATACAGTCCACATTTGCTTTTTTTTGCCGCATTGAACTAATTTTTACTTATTTTACCCAAACTAACTTAACTTATGGATGTTGGTGAAAAATACTAACAACCAACTACCATCGAAATCTTACTCTTAGAGGCAAGATAATCAATCTATTTGAACAGAAACCTCCATCATCATTAGACAAATACCTATCGATGTCTATCTATCTATTTTCTTAATGAAAATTAACAAGATTCACTACACATTTGCACCCACGACCAATACGCTAACAATTCATCAATATTTGCTAGTAAACATTAACAGTGCAGCCAAGTTCCTATACATTTTGTTCGATGAACTTCACTTTCTTGTAGATTATATGTTGTTCAAGACTTAATGCTCGCCATACTATTTAGATATAATAGTTAAATGTTAGTATGTTTTAGTGCTACTCTTAGCATGGCAAGTAAAAATTTATCAATGACTGGACACGAAGAGAGCTATCTTGAGAATAGTGCGAGTAACTGATTTAACTTTTTTCTGTCAAAATAGATGCTAGGAATTCCATCGTGAAAACAAGTTTGTAGTCAATTTGTAAATCCCTGAATTTATTAGGCATCCACTATATGAAATAAAAGAGATATTAAAAACATTTTTTAATCTTGAATCTGGTCGCTGGAAGCAGATCGTGATCAGAATTTCATCTTACAAGTAGGTCTTAGTGATGCACATTTATCATGATAAAACAGTTTCTTCAAAAAAAAAGAACTAATTAGTCTGCGCTACATATTTCTTATCCAATCTTCGCACCTATTTGCAACCAGTAGAATAATTACTATAATACAGAAAAACAAAATACTATACGACGTCACTGGTAAAACTTGTTAATAGTAAAATCTGCTCGATACTAATGCCTCAAAAGACCTTCTCAAAAGAAAACACTTTCGAGATACATACGTTTTTTACTTGAATTTGTACGAAGTCTTCTGTATACACGTTCTGAATGATAGTTTAATTTAGCAATGCTGTTTTATAAGTGAAATAGCTGCAGCGCTCTGTTTATATATACATTACTAAATATGACTCTTTTGTGCATTCATCCATTACATGAAACAATATACAGCGGTTGTAATTCGATATTTTGCTGTTTTTCCTCATCAACTACTATAATCGTTTTGCGCGTTCTGTGATGCATAATGCGAGTAGCTTATAATAGAACAATAGAAAGTATGTCGAATATTGGTAAAGATGTGCACAATATAACGATTTAATTAAACTTTTTGTTGATTATCGATTTGTTTATTTTGTGATGAATAAAGCAAGTAGTTTATGATAGGATGAAAGAAACTGAATCGAATATTTATAAAGATGTGTACAATCAGTATAAAAAAAATGACTAAAAAAACTGACTTCAATAGATTTTTCTCTGATCAAAAGCCGATTAAAATGTCACAACTTCATCCAGTTTTTATCAGGTCTTCTGATTTTAATAGATTTTAATCTAATTGATCGATATTTCGACTTACATAAGTATGAATTGGTGTTGTATGTGAAAGTATGTCAAAGATAGAGTTAGTACTACAGTTAGCATTCATCGACGTGATGAGTCCGAAAATAGAATTCAAAATTTGAGTTTCTAATTTAAAACTAAAGCAAAACCTGTTCTCTAGTCACAACAATCAAAATCGAGAAATCTGATTAGAATTGGATTAAAATCAGGTCATTATGGCCAATTTTTCGTCAAAAAAAAATCGATTAAAAACAGATTTTTTCGTCGTGCTTTTACATGGGAATATGATACTTAAATTCGACTTTTTACTGATTATCATTTCACCTATTTTGTGCTGCATTATAGAAGTAGCTTATTATAGAATAATAGAGATTGAATCAAATATTGGTAAAAACGTGCACAGTGTAGTAGTTTAATTAAGCGATTTTGACTGATCATTGTTTTGATTATTTTAGGATGCATAATGCAAGTAAATTTTTTTATAGAATAATATATATTGAAGCCAATATTGGCAAAGATGTGTACAATACAATAATTAAATTTAGATTATAACTGATCGTCGTTTCGGTTATTTTGTAATGCGCAAGGTAAGTAGCTTATTAGAGAACGATAGAGAATAAATCGAATAGTCGTAAACATGTGCAGAATACAGTCGTTGGTTGTAGTTCACTATGCAAGCAGCCTCGTGGATAAGGATAGAGAGTAAATAGAATATTGGTCAAAATGTCTACAATACGATGGTTAAATTTAACTTTTGATTGATCATTGTTTTGATTATTTTGCGATACGTAATGTAAATAGCTTAATACAGAATAATAAAAAGTGAATCGAGTATTCATAAAAACTTGCACAATACAATGTTTGCATTTGACATTTTAGTATTCATCATTGTATTTATTTTAGTGATGTATCATTTGAGCAGATTACTATCAAATAATAAAGAATGATTCGAATAATCGTAAAGATGTGGACAAGACAGTGGTTGTATTTAATATTTTACGACTCTTAGTTTTGTATATTTGTACAATGAATTTTGAGAAGAGGTCATTAGATAATGAACTACTTGGTTGGGTTATATGCAGAATTTAATTCTGCATATAACCCAACCAAGTAGAGAGCCAACCCACGTCCAAAAATTAATCCGGACGTAAAAAACTCCAATATGGTGCTAACTTTAGCTACATTTCATCTTGAAGTATGAAAAAAATGTTTTCATGATAAGTTAATGTTTAAAAATGATAAATATATCAATTAAAAGTTAATAATAATGGAATAGAATTAAAAAACAGTTGTTTTTCTTTATTCTGACAAAATTGACTCATTCAGATTCTAAGATTAAGAGATTCTTTTCCAATTTCAGTTGCTTTTGTAACACAACATGAATGTTCTTTTATTTTCGTAAACAAGCTGTATTGGATAATGGTCATTTCAGTAATGGATTTCGACTAAACAAGAATTACAGATTACTTTAAGTTAAATTCCGTCTCATTTTCAAATTTTATACCGATCCATTGGTACATAGGATACAGCACAAATATCAAATGGATTATATTCATCATAATTTAATAAATGTGCATCAAGTGGATTTATTTCACAAACATTTAATAGTTTTTATGTTTAAAAACAAAATAATTAAACAAAACAGTAACTCGTAATTTTTTTTTCTTTTGGTTCATCGTATGTTTTATTTCAAAGAGAATAAATCATATTTTTTTCCAATAAACCAAAAAACATGAAAAATTTCGACGAACCAATTTGATATAACTTGAGTCCATTAAAGATGTTTTCTTTCTTGTTTTTGGGTTTATTTTAAAAGTTTTCAAAGTTAAAGTCGAGAAAGAAAAAATAATGTTTGGTTTGTAAAAGAAATTTTAGTAGTAAAACAAAACAAACCTGTTGAGCAACATCAAGTGCTTATCCTAATTCTAATAAACCTTCGGCAAAGCTTGTAGCAGTTTTATGATTTTTTAATTTCAAATTCTTGATTAATTGCCAATTTAAAGGTCATAATTTTATGTATTGGCTTTAATCGTAAATGAGTAAAGTAAGCAACTAATTCATATGATCGTTTTTATTATCTTTTACTAAATCTTTGTTTTATCATTGACATCAGTAATTCTGCAATAAATATTCTTTAAATATTTCAATTCATTGTCGATCTTGAAATTTTTCACTTTTTATAACATACTAAGAAATTTGAAGACGTTCAACTAATTTTTCTAATTTTAATCCAACTACTAATTAGATAAAATAATTTTAGCAAATGTGCATCACGCCTTAATAATTTAAAATTATTTACTAGACAAACAAAAGAATCCACACCAATTTCTTAATCGATATGCATATAATATCGGTAATGATAGAAGTGTTGTAAAAGTTGTATGTGGGCGTGAATATATGTGAACAAACAATTATTTATATTTATCAAAACGAACACTTTCAACTTGATTCTGTAATAAACACAATGCTGACACAAATGAACCATTTCACATATGAGCAATAGGTAATGTGACATTTTGTGTCGAAGCTAGTGGAATTGATTGATCCTTTGTCGGTGCTACAAAATATACACGTTCATCTTCCTCATCATCAACTCTACCACTTTCAACAGTTGTTTCCTAAAGTAAAGAAATATGTGATGCTTTCATTCTATATTAAAGAAAAAATCAGTAATATACAAGATCAAATGGTAATTCAATTCTTCAACATCAAGATTTGCAGCAATTTTTACTGTTATATTTTATATTAAACCTGCTTTGATTCTTGTTGACTTATTGAACATTATAATAAAACTAATTCATGATTTCGATTTATTTCAGGTAACTAAAATAAATAAATATTTTTAATTTTCAATTATTAAATTTAACTCGAGATTATTATCGATTAAATGTATGTTTCGCTTATTAAACAAAGGACAAGTAATAGTAATATTGTTGAAGTCTCAATCTACCAGCTTATTCCCTTTTTGAAATATAATATGAGAAGTCTTCTCATTTGATAAAATCTACATTCTAATGAATATCTTTTTTTTTGCTATTAATAATAAATTACTTTTCATCATTTCATTCTATTGTAAAAAGAAACGAAACAACTTTAATAATTTTCTCTCAGAAAAAAGAGCAATCTGAAATATTACTTTGATTGGATTGTCTAAGAAGTTTAATAGGTTCTTCAACAGTTTATAATAAAATTATATTTTGAAATTGTCCACTAGCATTTTTTTCGCATTTCAGCTAAAAAGAAAAAAAAATAAACACAAGAAATTTTCATTAGTTCTTTTTATTTTTCAAAATTTACCGTAGTTAAATAAAGAAAAGCTAATTTTTCCCTACAACGTTGTATCATCTAAAGTTACAGCAGCCTTCAACACGACCAGAATACTTGAAACTAATTGTAAAAGAAAAAAAAACACAATTAATTTCCATCAATATTTCTACATTCAACTACTAATCCAAATCTTATTTTTTTAATCTTTGACGAAATGAATTGCAACTTCTGAATAACTTCTCGTGCGAAGATAAACAATATTTTGTTCAACTAATTTTGCTGTTTGAGCTATATGAAGTAGCTAAAAAGATTCTTGAAAAGCAGTTAAAAAGAAATTGTAAATTATACTTCATTGTATTTTCTATTACTTTAACTTTTGTTTTATCAATAGGTAAAACAAGTGTAGGAAGAATTCCATAATTACCATAAATAAATGCATATGTAATATGATTTGATGTTGTATAAATAAAGGCATTATATAAACTGATATGACTATTTTCACGAAAAAGAAACAAACAAACTTTAAGTTACAATATGATTTTCATCAAAAGCAGCAAATTGATTTCAAGCAATCTATACGGCATATAAATCAGATGAACGAACATCTTCAGATACTTGAAAAGAAAAATAAACATTTAGACCTATTGAACAATTTACATAAGATATCTTTCTCTTTTTCAAATGTTAGACTTTTGTTTTGAAAATGAATCATTTTTTTCCTACTTGAAGCTATTTAATATTGATGGAAGAAATCTACATTGTCATCGATTAAAATTCTTTTCATTTAAATAAATCATATCATTCAGAGTTTAGGTTGAAGTCGTTGGGTCACCAACATTTTTCGAACGTGTATCACTAACATTTTTTTAAAATAAAATAAAACAATTAATTTATTCTCTTTCTCGTAAAGAGTCTTGCAAGAATAAATTGTTTGCTTCCTTGTATGTCCGCACTTCAGTGATTGGTCCAAAAATAAGGTGAACATAGAAGGGAATATTTTCCATAAAACTTGACCAAGGGGTTTTCGAGGGTGAGGAGTTCGAATCTGAGGTTAGTTTGAATTAATTATTAACCATTTATGAATTAACCATTAACTACTCATTAATTATTAATGTTTGTCGCAAAAGTTGACCAAAGAGTAATCAGGGGTGGGGAATTCGAATTTGATATTAGCGTTAATTAATACTTAACCCGTTATTATTAATTTTTTATTAAAGAATCATTAATTATCTCGTTATTAAATAATTAATAGTTGTACACAATAACGTATTGAAAATCTAACATCTGAAAGCAGCCCTTCTACGAGAAAGAGCGGAGCGAGTCTGTAAACAAGCGTTACTTGTAAATCAGAAGAGCATCCTATTCCAAAAGTGTTACTTACGGTTGTTTTGGGTATGGAGGTAGTTATGGATGAGGGAAACCTTTACATCCACATCCACCACATCATATAGATCCGGTGAAACTGAAACCCGTACTCACTCACATCTACATCCACACCCTTTAGACGAAAAACACATCGTATTATTGCAAGTGCGATTCTATATCCCCGTTCTTGAGCTGTGATTGCAATCATATAATTGGAAATTCGTAATCAAGTGACTATGAATGCTGTCAGTTTATATATGTAAACATTTCCCGGTTTAACAGTGCAGAAAACTAAGAAACATTTTAGTCAGTTTCTTCAGCATTGCAGTCTATACAGATGGTTTTTCTTTTGTTCCATAGCTCTTGCCCCGGCTCTAGTTTGTGCGTCAGACTTGTAATACATGGGTGTGGGTGTGGGTGGATGTGAGTAACAAGACATAAGAACACTCACAC